GGGCCTTTCCTGCACCATGGAGATCCGATTCGCACCTTTCTACCACCTCCTATGGCCACCTGCACCGACTCTGGGCAATCCTTCGGCGAGCGATCCGACATTGCGGCTCGCGCGCCGAGCGTTCAGTCACGTCTGCTGCGTCGGCGTCGGCGGCCTCGCCGCCTGGGTCGGCGCATCTCCCAGCCTTGAGCCTGCGCAGGCTCGGCGGATGATGATTATGGAATAGATAGGAGTAGGAGGGGGGCCAGCGAGCGAGCGAGCAACGCGCATCGATGCTGCAAGGCGCCTACCCGTCGCGCGCCACGCTCCATGACTCATGAACAATTTAACAATATCTTACCACGTCGCCCAACTAAGAGGGCATCGGAAGTCCAGCCCCAGGAGGCCGGTTGAACCCTTCGGAAGCACTTAGGCAGAGGTGCTGTTGGGGCCGCGGGGAACCACCAGACAACTTGTGCCATCACGGGCACATAGGATTCATCCCTTTTCGACACACCCCTTGCGCGGATAGTCGACGTCGGGGCGGCGGGCGGCGGACTCTTGCTTTTGCTTGTCATCCTCAATCGCTCCCTCATCATACTCTTCCCCGCCATCCCCTCTCCTCGGCAAAAGACATAGGTGGTACCCCTAACAAACATATAAGATATTCCCAACAGTACAACGGACCTTCCCAGCAAACATACATGATCCTGCACACAACTAGACAGGCCCCGCCCAACAAGTAAGTCTGACCGTCCCGAGAATAGAAATGACCCCCCCCCCCCCCAACAAGTAGACAGGACCCTCCCAAAAGTAGACTTGCTTCCTTGACAAATAGAAAAGGCCTTGCAGACAAGTATACATGACCATCCCAACAAGTATATAGCACCCTCAAACAAAAGGATAAGAGCCTCCCAACAAATATACAAGACCTTCCGGACAAGTAGATAGGACCCTCCAAAAAGTATATAACACCCTCCCACAAGTAGATATTACCCTCCCGGCAGGTAGATAAGACCATCCCAACAAGTAGACAGGACCCTCCCAAGAAGTAGACAAGACCCATCCAACAAACAGGTTGGACCATCCCAACAAGTAGATAGGGCCCTCCCAACAAGTAGACGGTACCCTACCAACACGCATATCGGATCCTATCAGAAGTAAACAGGAGCCTCCCAGCAAGTAGATAATACACCACAACAAATATATGCAACCCTCCCAACAAGTATATAGGACCCAGTCAAAAGGTATACAATGCATCCCCAACAGGTGCTACGACCCCCCGAAAAGTAGATAGCACCAACCAACACATACACGAATGTCTTGATATATGTATGTGCGTGTACATGCGCATATGCACACATGGTTTGCTCGCGCGGCCACTTGTGCTTATGAGCCCTAGCAGAAGCAATCGGCCAACCAAACAACCAGCCTACCTGCGGCGCAAACCAGCCAACCAACCAACCAACGCAACCAATCAGCTAACCGCGGCTGAAGACCAGCCAACCAGCCCACCAGCCAAACGCTGCGCGCGCTGGGAGGGGCGGGAGGTGTGTCATTGCCGAACGGCATATCTTCCTCGGCGGCGGCAGCAACAAGGGCGCCGACCGCGGCGGCGAGCCAATCGGCACATGAGAAGTGCGAGCGCGCCTGCGCGCCCCCTGGAACCCGAGAGCCCGCCCAGCCAACCGACCAGCAAACCAGTCAGCCAAGGGCAACTGGGCTGCTGCCAAATGCGCAACTGTCACATGTTTTCTCGCGGGGGCGGGGCTTGCCGAGAGGCATATGTGAATAAAGCTGGCCTGGCGGCGGCAGTCGGCTAGTATTTTCCGCGAACCGATGGGCCCCATCAGCACGTGAGATGAGACATAACTCCCCGAGCCCACGGGCCCCGAGAAACCTTGCGGGGGGCTCTGAGGGGGATCCGAAGATCTGCCCAGACGCCCGCGGCCCAAAGGCACCGCCAGGAGGAAGCCCTGCGGGAACCATGCGCTGGGGCCGAGGAGGATTGCATGAAGGAGAAGACGTGGGCGATTTTTGGCCTCCAGGACCCTCGCCCTCGCCACGGCTGGACTCGCCTTCGAAATTGCTTGCTTGCGGCAAACAAAATAAAGGGAGGCGAGGGACACCCACCGCGCAGCCCCCTCAGGCGCAGTGCCCGTACAGGGAGGGGCCGCTCTCCTGGGGCCCGCCTCCCCCTCCCCCTCTGTCCACCCTCATTCCAGCGAAGGTGGACATAGGGGGCGGAGTGGGAGGGGTTGGCCCTACTGGCCGCGGCGCACAGCTGGTCACAGGACATGGGGCATTGCACCCCAATCGGAAGGCAGCGATGCAAGGGCCCTTCCCATCCCTTGCGAGGGGGAAGAAGGGCCCAGGGGCCCATGCCACGACCCCCATGGTCGCCATATGTGCACCCGCACGCCGCGACCCCCGTCGGTGCCCGAGGAGGGGGGGGCAGGGGTGCCCAGAAGCCCCGAGGCCCCTCGGAGCCCACTGGAATCCCTCAAGAACCCTCAGAGGCCCTTGGCCCTTGGGGTCCACTAGATGCTCTGGGCCCTGGGAGGCCCCTTAAGATCTCAGAGCCCCCGGAGACCTCACGGCCCCCCACCCCCCCGTCAGCCCGAGGGGCAGGCAGAACCCACCCAGAGCACCCCTGGGCCGCGGGGAATTCCCAGACATCCTGTGTCCCAGCGGGACCATGGGAGGGAGGCCAAACAGCCCCGCCCTTTTCGGCGCACCCCTCACACGGAATTTCGGCGTCGGGGCGGCGGGCGGCGGACGGCCTCATAAGGCGTCTTGCTGTTGCTCCCTCTCCCCCTGCCCCGCCCCATCCTTCTCCGATCTCCTTCCCCCTCGACCCCCCCCCCCTCTTCCTGCGAATTAGCTACCGCGCCTCGGCGACGCACAAGTTGGGGCGTCCTCAGCCCGCGAGCGCTACAGGGCGCCCAAGATTGCCTCCGAGGCCCCCAAGACATTCTTAAGGGCTCCAAGAGGACTCCAAGATGGCAATCGATAAACACTCATGGCTCCACCATCGGTTTCGAAACCGCTTCGCGCTCTCAGCTGTTCGAGCCCCCAGCGCTCCATGGCGGCCAGAGAGGCCCCCCGAGATCGCCCCAACTGGCCCCCAAGAGGGCCCAGAGACGGCCTCAGCAGGGATCCAAAACGGCACCAGAGACCTTCCCAAGACAACCCGAGAAAGTCCGCTGGTGGTGACCCGAAGGGGGGGCCCAAGAGGGAGAACGTGACCACTTTGACCACGCGGGCCGAGCCCTCCGCTCAAGGGCCACCCTCGAGGCCGCCAGCAGGCCACCAAGAAAATAATGGAGCCCAGAGAGGCCCCCGAGAAGCCCCAAACGGCACTCAGGATGCCAATAAAGAGAGGCAACAAGGCACCGAAGATGCGTAAAAACTGCTTCCCGAATGCACCCGAGATGCTCCCGAGATACCCCATACATACCCCATCTGATCCATCGCCCATTCACCCACCCGCCACCACCCTCCGCCCACCCGCCCACCACCCCCCGTCCACAAGCCATATCATCCTTATCAGACTCTTCACAAATGCCTCCGCAGCGCAACAAACAATCACGCAATTACGCTCTCTTTACTCGACTCTACGCCATGCCATCTGGCTCCGACTCCTCACCCCCACGCGGGGGACGCTCGGCAGCGCACATCTCGGCTCCACCTGGCTGAGCCCTGTACCGTCGGCGTGCCGCTCGCCGAACCTGAAACTCCAAATTCACAATCCAGGCAATGCGATCTTGGCGATCAATGCCGTTCGCGCGGCAATGACTCGCACAATCAAGCCACGCACAGAGAAACCCGAAAGGGCGACCCTAAGCTAATCTTCCTGCCCCCCCGTGCGCCGCCGCAGCGCGGGTCACGCGGCACCTGGAACCCGCGCTGCTGGCAGGGCATACGCTACACGTGGCTTCGAAACGATTGATGTTCGCGCAATAGCGAATCACCCCACTCGGGCGGTGGAAGACACGATCGGCCGGCAAGCGAGGGCCAAGGGGCGGGGGAGGAGGACCAGGCGGCGGCGGCAGCGGATGCTCGCCCCCGCCTACTGGATGACCCACTCCATGTTCGCCACCGCCAGCTTCTTGTCCACCGCCGCCTCCATCTCCACCGCCGCCTCCATTTCCACCATCGCCTCCATCTCCACCACCGCCACCAGGCCGAACGTCGCTGCCACCCAGCCCCACCTGCTCCAGCCAGAACTCCTCCTCGCCGACCCCGTCGTCGAGGAAGTCGTCCTCGCCCTTACGTCGAAGGGCGAATGCCCAGGCACCACGCTCGCCGACATATGTTCCACGCGAGAGAGGGCGAGATGGGGGGGGGGGGGGCGAGCGGGCCCCCATCTCGACCTCCGCGCTGAGAGCCGAACCGACAGCGCTTGGGGCCCGGCTTTCGGCCCTCGTCTGACCTCGGACTCGCCCAAGCCAGGATCCCCGTGCCCCTCGATGCCCTCGACCTCGAAGCGCTCGTCTCCAGCGTCGGAGTCACCGCCCTCGCCCTTGTCGCTCTCGTCCTCGTCGTCGTCTGGGTCGCCCTCGGGTTCGCCATCCGAACCACCGTCGGGCTCGGCGCCGTCACGCCCCGCACCAGGCAGGCGCCCGCGGCGCTTCGGGGCCCAGAACTCGACCGCCTCAGGGTGCATCTTCTTGACCAGCACCTGGTCAGGCCGAAACTCCACGAGACGGCTGCCCTCGCACAACACGTAAACTTCACGGGACCACGTCGCCCTCCTGTCCAGCGTTGTAAAACCATGCCAGTCCACCAAAGTCGCATCGGTGGCCTTAGGCAGGAATGCGAAGGCACCCAGCCCAGATCGGATCTTCGACATCCCACTGGGCCCCCACAAAACTTCGCCCCTCCCCAGCGACGTGCCACAGAATATCGCGGCGGATCCAGCCGTGGCGACGTGGCGACAGAATGCCAGAACACACAAGAATAACAACACAACCACTGCACTACGACGGGGCCCAGCGAGCGGACAGGTTGCCTTCCCACTACCACGGCGCCTTCAAAAGCATCTCCACGGAACCGTCCCGCAACTGCCTCTCCACGAAGTCCAACACTCGGTACGTGCACTTGTACGGGCTGAGCGAAGAGGCGCCGACGTGCCACCAGATGTCTAGGGCGCAGCCCTCCTCTTGCTCCGCTTCGTCCCAGGCGGACTCAGCAGCATCCCTCTCGGGGAGCGTTCCCACGAGATGAACGACCACCTTACGATCGATAAGGTGCTGGCGACCCATGCTCCCCTTTTTCGTCAGCTGCTTGAGGGCGCTGTGGAAGCCCTCTCGGGGCCTCGCGAATCGCGCGCCCGTAGATCCGCAGAGGCACATCCGGATTGTGCGGCATGGCGGCCTCTCCAACTTTTTCTTCTTGGGCTCGGGGGCGATCGGCTTGCAGTCGACGTGCATGATGGGGGCGTGCAAGGCCACCCAGTAGCTCTCCAGCGACTTCACCGCGTTGGACTTCAGCGACTGGTCCTTGGCCAAGGCGGCGCCGAGCGCTGAGAGCTCAGCGGGGTGCCGAAAGTCAAACAGGTTCTGGCATCGGTGCGGCGCTGCGCTGAGCGTCGCCATGCACTCTGCAAAATTCGCCATCTCGGAAACCAACAACTCCTCGACCTTGCCCTTGACGGCCTCGCGCCACATCACCGGGCACTTAGTGGCCCTCGCATCGTCGGCCCTGAGGGCGAGCTGCTCGGCTTGCAAAGCCGCCCGCGCCATCTCCTGGATAGCGCCCAGGTCGAGCTGCCTGTCAGCTGGCGCGCACTGCATCGCAGTCTGAACCGCGCGATCGCACAGCACAGCCAAGCTCGGTGCAGGCGCCGACGACGGGGCGACAACGACCCCAGACCGAGCTGCTACAAGTTGGCACTCCTGCACTTTCGCCCTCAGCTGCCTCGAGGCGTCGCCGAAAGCGCAGCTCATGTCGCCCCCCCCCCCCCCCCCTCCAGAGTCGAGTCGCAACTTTGCCCAACCTCTGGAGCTCCGACATTTCATGCTCGCTCAGGTTGCGGTAAAGGATGGCGACATCCCTCATGTTCGGCCTCTGCTCGCCACAATTCGCTGTCTCCTGCCGCGCGCATGCCCTCCACGGTCCGCCACCGCCCCCCCGCCCATATTGTTCCACCTCTCCCTCCTGGTCTGCAGGTTCGACGGCGCCCTCGGCGCCAGGGCCATCGCTGTTGGCGACGACCTCCCACGCCTTCCCGAAGCGGCGGATGCGGTCGAGCAGGAACTCCGCCGAGAGCTCCTCGAAGGCTTGGGTCCAGGTCTGAATGCCCTTCGTGAACAGCCTCCGCCGCACGGCCGAGTGAGCGGCCTCGACGGGGGCAATATTAACTCCAGCAAGCATTGCTACAAGGCGAAGCTCTGCCCTGGCTTCCTCGTTTTCCAGTCCTCCAGGGCGATCCTGATACCTCGTCACGAAATCGAGCGACCACTCGTCGAACAAGCACGGCGGAATGTGCAAGTCGACGTCGGCACCCCTCGGCCCGAGCAACCGAAACAACTTCATGGGGAACGTGTTGTGCTGGACGTCCAGGCCCTCGCTGGCTAAGCAAGCGCATGACGATATCATTCGAAACGCAAGCGCTCTCATGCTCAAGGTCTGGTGATCTGGCGGGATAAAGTCCACCCAGAGCTCCTTGCGATGCAGCAACAGCTGGGTCTTACTATGGAATTTGGCCTCAATTGAACCGGGTACGCCTGGCCTCCCCCCATCGGAACAATCCTCGGAAACGCCCCGGGCTGCCTCTGCCTCTTGACGCGCGGCGCGCTCCGCGCCAACGTGTTCCAAGTGCGCCTTCAGCAACTCCCGCAGTGGCTCCATGGCCCGGCGAACCACCAGCGAGCACGCCAGCGGGCAACACCTTCGCATGAGAGACCGAACGCACCATCGGACCCAGCAGCCCCCACTGCGCATGTTATTTTCTCAACCACCGTCCCGAAACAAAAACAGACATGCTGGCGGGGTCTGCTGTCTGACGGGTACATTCGGCCCCCCAGTGGCCACCTCAGGAAAACCCCAGCAATCCTACGATGCCTGGTCCTCTCCCTCTTCTCGTTATCCTCTTTTATCTGCCTGGAGTCGGCGGCGCCCACCCCAGCGCCATCGGCCTTGTCGTCATTGTTGCCGCTGCCCTGGTAGTCCAGGATCTCCTTCATGTGGGAGACCGACGCGGGCAGGTCGGCAGGGGCAGGGAGGTGACCAGGGGCCGCATCATCAAGCCCGCTCGCACGTTCTTCTGCACACCATACAGGGCACGCGGCGCTGATGAGACCGTGGACGCCTTCCAGCAAGCAGAACTCGCCCCACGCTTGATCTGACCGAGTCCACTTTGACTTATCATAAACAGTGAACCTGGACCCAACCAAACACTTCACCACAGACTCCGAAACTGTCTCACGAATCTCCGCGCCATCATACGCGGCGCCCACAGGGGCGCACACCTCCACGCAATCCGTCTTGCTCCAATCGCCGTTCGGCAAGAAGCTGAGGGCGAGGCGCTTCGCCAATAGCCGACTCCCGCGCGCCGCGCAGAGCCAAAGTAGATGGCGACGATGTCTCTCAGCGGCTTCTGGGGCGCGACCGCGCCTCGGAAGGACCGGCAAATCTCATCCTTCCCACTTCTCCTCCTCCCCCATTCACTTCTCCTCCTACTTCTCCTACTGACTCCTACTTCTCCTCCTCCATCCTCCCCCATTCGAGGGGGGAGGGCGAAGGTGAGTAAGGGATGGGAAAAGAGAGATAGAGGGAGGAGGATACAGTGAGGGAGGAGGCTGGATAGAGAGTGAAGGAGGGAGGAATGGAGGATGACAAGGACGACAAGGCGGAATGGTCGGGGAAAGCGATTTCGAGCCTGAGGTTTAGTGGGCCCCAACCCTGCCTGAACAATCCTCTCCTTCACGATGTTCTTCACAATCCTCTGGAACCGATTGAACGAGGTGCCCTCGTTGATCGCCAACGCCCAGAGGATCTGGCCCATTATAATTGGGCCCACGGGGCAAACGTCTTCCCATGGCAACCTGCCACCAGGTGGATCTCGCAGCCGACGGGGAGGCGATGCCATCCACCAGACTGGGACCTCAATTCTCTCAAGTACTCACGTTCGTATCGATCGTTTGCTCCAGCGCCGTCCAAGCAGCTGACCCGAAGCTTGTTCGCAAACTTCCTATGCCAATCTGTAATGGCTGACCTCTGCTTCGCCGCGGCCAGCAAGCACTCGCCCGTTGTCCTGTCCAAGTGCTGGGGCCACGTCATCGCCCTGCCCTTGATGCTGACCAGGCGCCCGTCGGGCGCACGAAAGAGCATTCCGAAGCTGCCCCTGCTTTGCAACACTTTACTCGTAGTCTTCTCCATCTTCGAAGCTGTCGGCATAGTCGACATTGTAACTGCAAGCGCTTGCTGGTGAGCGGCAGCACCTGCGCGCTGCTGTTGTCGCTGTGGGCGCTTCTGCCTTCGACCGAAGACTCCGATATTCAACGGTGTTTCGTCATTCACGCTGGCATATACGTACAGAATCAAACTAGCATGATCGAGAGATGATCCAACTATTGCCTCCAATCTATACTGATCATCACGGTCAGCATGAAGAGCAACGCAAGCAAGCCTATACAACGAAGGCCGAGCTTCTCGATAATCCACGCCCAAAGACGCGGCAACAGATGCAGCCGTCGATGGGCGGAAACTCGTGGCTCCAGCGCCACTTGCCATATATAGTTTTGCAACCTTCATTCTGTCTTCCTTGTCTACGTTGGTGGCCTGCGCCCCCGCGATGCTCATGATGCTGCGCACGCATGTCTGCAGGGGCCACATGGCTCCGTGCTCGAATCGTAAAATTCCAAGACCGTTCACAATCTCGATAGGCACCGTTGGGAATCCCACAGGCGCCACAGGGACGGCGACAATGCTCTGCTGAACGCCGCCTTCAGCGTCTGCAGCAGCTGCTGCTGCTTGTCTTTTCCTAGCTTTTGCTTGTCGTGCCCGCTCACATATTTCAGCTCTAGATGGTATGTCGGACGCCGCAGCCTCAACACCAAGCTCAGGTAATGCCTCCCTCCATACATCACTTCTCCGAAACTTCCGAGGGCGCCCTGAATCATGTGCGGCTGCGCTGGCAGGGGCGTCGAAAATGTCAACCTCGCTGATCTGGTTTGGGCCCGTGTCTGGTTCTGGGCCCGCCCCTGCCATATTGCCCTCTGCCTTTCGCGCAGCGACGTCCCATGCGTCATCTACCACGTCAGCCTCCATGGCCGTCGCCAGAATCTACATTGCTGAATCTGAACAAAGACGATAGGGCATAGCAGGAGAGTTTGAGCCAAAACGGCGATAGGGCGCAATGGGCGATAGGGCATAATGAGCGATGGGGCATGTTGGGCGAGAGGCCGTATGGGGACGGGGGAACAGGGCATTAGGGGGCCAAGGAAGAACGACGAGGGGAATTGCAATAGATTATGAGGGGAAGTACGAAGCGAAGGAGGCACTATAACGTTAAGGCAAGAGAGATATCACGAAATATCGTGAAGAACTGCGATGGTGAGGTATGGTGAGACAAAAGTGGGATGACGAGACATGTTCGCACCCCCTGACCACTCTGCACCTATATTTTTGCATGGGCTATGAAAAAGGGCTCAGGTAGTGCTTTTGAAACTTTTTGGACTATCGATGGGTTTCCCCAGAACAGGCCCCCTTGCTGAAGTTGATGTCTTAGGCCCAGCAGAAGGAGTGCTCATCTGTTCTCAATACCAAAGCGGTCAGGATCCTGAGCAGACAAAAGATCGACCCGGCACGCCTACTACGTTGCCGCTTCGTGCTGACCTGGAAGAACAACGAGCAAGGCAACGCTCTCCGAGGCAAGGCCCGCTTGGTCGTGCTCGGCTTCATCGACCCCGACTTGCTCCACCTACGGACGAATCCCCCGTCGCCTCACGACGGGCCCGTAAACTTCCACTGGCCATGGCAGCTAGACACAAGTGGAAGCTGGAAAAGGCAGACGCAGTGACAGCCTTCCTCCATGGAGAAACTGACGAGGAGAAGAGGAAGACCTATGCGGACCCCACGAAAATCGTCCGCCAGGGTTTTGGCACGGGCGATGATCAGGTCCTACAGTCCCTCAAGCCGATGTACGGCTTCGTACAATTTAAAGGGTGTGGGAGGCCCAACCAGATGATTCGCCTAAGGCGAAGCCCATATCCAGCTCTGTTGTACTGGAATAACGACAGCCCCAAGAGCATGAGTGAGTCGCGGGAGCGACGAGCCACGTCGAGCGAAAATGTTTTCGGTCTCGATGACGAATAGCGTGCCTCGCGACGAGGCACAGTCACATCTTGGCGGCAGGCCGCTTGAGAACAAACGGCCGCGGACAAACGCTCGCTACGCTACCTCTCGCGGTTGCCCAGCCCCCTTTAGAATCGGGGGGCGGGGAGGGGGGGGGGGGGGCGAAGCGCGAGTCCACCGCCAGCTATATACAGCAGAACACTATAATACACAGGGTAGGCAGCAGCAGGCGGGCTCAACAAGGCAGCTTGACCCGCGTGCAAGTTACCTTGCACGCAAGTAACCTGGCAAGCAAATTAACCTGCGGATAGCTACTCCTCTGGCGGCTCAGACGATCTTGTCTGGCCAGCCTTGCATGTAGTGTGTCGTTTTAGGTCATGCTTGAAGGATCGCGTTCCTCCCATGACTGGTACGAGCATGTCTCTGTCGATGCCCCCTTTGGTGTGGCCGTCCGCGGTCATATCGCGAGTGTCACAACACTGCACAATGCACGATGCCTCGCTCCATCATTTGTCGTATCCAACTGATGTGTCCCAGAAGTGCACACTCAGTCGGTTTCTTAAAAGTTTTTGCTGGACAAGGACCTGAAGACAGATTCTGCATCAATCGCCACAGTGACCTTCATGCCCAGGCCGCCCATCTCAAGTACATCCTTCAACCGAGCGGGTGTCAGCGGCCACGCGTGGAGTTCATGCAGTGTAACGATCGTGGAATTGCAGTCCTCCAAGTTGTGGGCTGCTGCAAGTGTTTCCTCTGAGTAGCTCAAGTGGACCTGCAAGCGATGAGACTCGTAGTACGCGTCGACAAGATGGACAACGGGCTTACCAGCACGCGCGCGTCCACGCCGCATCATGTTTGCCCCGCGAATACCATGGCCTCCGACCTCTTCATCGGCATCGCCGCTCAGACGCTGGTAGCCGGAGTCGCTGTGCAGGCCGACCTCGCCCGTTGGAGCCATCGCCTGGCAAACGATCTTCTCAGGGCAGCCCGTCAACTTTCTGGCAATCGAGCTTAGTCGTCGCACTTGCACGTTGGTGCATTCGTGGACCCGCTGTAGTGATACATTATATACCAATAACCAAACTTGCGTGAAAAGGGCGTGAGCCAAAGCGCCTCTGAGGCTGACAAAGATGTCGGCAAACACATTCGATGCCTTGGCCTCAGCGCCTGCGCCCGTGAGTTCACGATGCTGGATACGACGGAGATGTTTCATAGATTCGTCTGGATCGAATGTAAACTTGCCGTCGTCGTCTTTCGCGTACCTCACGGCGCAATTGGTACACGTGTGTTTGTTGAATTTACATGCACAATAAGTATGCCCAACACAATTGACGCACTTGTCGATAGTGTCATCAGTACCGGCCATGTTCATGTCATCAACATGCTTGGCTGTGGTAAGGTTAGAACTTGTCTTGATTTCCTCGACGTAAGACGTGGGTTTACGACCATGCCCCCTCGTGGTTCCTCAGCTTCTGTGAGAAGGCTCTTGGTGCATCCTTGGTGCCAGTACCTGGTTTAAGGCGCTGTAAACATGGTTCGACTCATCGCAATGCTCGAATCCTGGGAGGGATCCGAGCACAAGTGCCGACCCAGGTGGCACTGTAAAGCACGCCACACGTTCCTCGTTCATAAGTCCCTTCAGGAAAACCATGCAGATGTCGCGGGAAGCGATAATCCACTGCTTCCTGCACGCTGCCGCGCTGGCGAGCAGTCGCTGACTTGACAGCCGCGCCGTTCCTGAGAACGCTTCCACCTCAAAGGCACCGAGGTCCATGAATACCCGAAATACCAAGCGCAGTCAGATGGCACGCTCCATCTCGCCCTCCTCGTTCTTGACGAACTTCCGGTTATCTACGTCTCTCGAAGTCGGAAGTCATGGTGTTTGACGTTTTGGATATAGCTTGCATTTTGAAGCACACGTTGTCAGTTCAGTATAGAGGGCCTTCGACACCTTGGCTGGATTCGCCTGGATACCAGCCTCCGTGAGAAGGTCGTCCTCCTTGACGACTACAGCCCGTTTAGGTGCAGCGCTCACATACACTCGCATCGTGGTCACACGGTCGAAGTCTAATGTATTGTGCTGTTGTTCGAATAAGACTACACGTGACAAGTCTGCCACGAAGCAGATTTCTACGTATTGTCCGTGCCCGTCAGAGTACAATCCGCAACTGTCATCTTCACCCATGGAGCACAATGGTATATTATATGTTTCAGTTGTGTCGATGTCCTGTGGGTTACCCCACGTAGGCAAGTGCCCCCGCTCTTCTTCAGCTTCAGCTACTGCGACCAGCACGCTGTTGTCAGTGATCATCTTGTGG